TTCTTAAATTATACCAATTAAAAAAAGCACTTTCATCGAGTAATTTGTTCTTCTGATCGGGACCATCAGCTTGCTTGAACCATTAAGATGTTTATGTAGAATTGTAAACTAAAAAGAATAGTTTTCATACTGTTCCCACACCGGGAATTGAACCCGGGCCGCCTGGGTGAAAACCAGGAATCCTAACCACTAGACCATATGGGATTAAGTGATACAGCGTGCTAACAAAATCAATATTATTACCTATGTGGTAGGAGCCACCACCCCGCTCCATGGATCATTTTTGGGAAAATTGAACGAATGTTCAAATTATATATATTGTGAATCTTATGTCCAAAAAAGATTTAATGAAAGGTTTGTGGGAGCAGAAAAGGCGTGGAGTGGAGAGGTTACGCACACATGCAAGTTAATGACTCGTTGGTTTTGCTTCTAGCGCAGAGTTCTTCGTTAGTTTTCTTCGGTTATGACAAACCACTTCTTTTTGAATTGGAAACTGAGAAGACGAGAATAGTATTATCTTATATGGTGAATGTAAAATCTTTTTTAAATAATATACTATTATACTTACCGCTGACCGCTACTTTTACCACCCTCTCGCCATTCCCTCGTTTTACTGTTGGCACGACTTCATATGGTCTGGCGGTTAGGATTTCTGGTTTTCACTCAGTCGACCCAGCTTCCACTCACGGTGAAAGAAGTAATTTTTTCTTTTGCAATATACATGCAATGTATCTATAGACAATTTTTTTTAAAAGTAAGCAAGGAACTGAACTGATTTTCCCATTCATTTACTGATGGAAACTCTCGTTATCGGAAGATTGCTGAGAATTAAGTCAATTTCATCAAATTTAATTCAATCTTCTTCTTTCGTATGCAAGTAAAAAAAAACGCAACTCGGGTCCTGTATAAAATGACGATTGACCTAGTGACGTGCTCATTCTCCTCTTTAAGTGGAGATAACATTCATTTGGGGATAAAAGGATATTTTAAGAGAGAATGGTCATAAAGTTGATCGAGCTATTAAAGGTTGTAAGGTTCAGGGCAAGTCGTACTTAACTATTTACAATCCTCTTGATGTATGTAAACTTTATTTTTGATTTGACCTCGTCTGGAGCCAAGTTGAGTGTAATGTCTGGATCAACCTCATTTGAACCTTTTAACTGGCTCCTAATCTGACTCAGAAGTGGGGAGGCCTGGGTCTACAGGGAACATTTTTATTAATAAGTGTCTAGATTTCTAGTCTAAAATGGAGATGTCTGAGCCTGATACTCAAGATTTTCCTGAAGCAATGGCAAGTATTGTAGGTTTAGAATCCAATTTATGGTGCTATAATCTGAAAAGTAAACAGCTGAAAAAAAATTTCCGAACTTGAAAATAATTGACATTTTGGAGAAAAAGACCTTTTCGTAAGAAGACTAAAAGAAGACCTTTCTACACCGGGATTCAAACCCAGGCCATCTGTTCGTAAGCCAATTATCCTTATAGTTTTACCAAATGAAATGCTTGGGAGTTTGTGATTGATAGTCTGTATGGCGACTGGATAAACTGATGATATTCATTCGGCTATGGTATTGTTTGCTCCTCCAACCGATAAAATTTTAATATAATCATAGACAAAAAGGTGTTCCAAGTCTGCTGAGCTATAATCGTAATTTTCTATTCTGAATTAATAAATTAACACCCAAAAGATTGAGCTAACAAGTAACATAACTGATCTAAAAAGAAATCAAATGTTTCATCAGAAGTAAGAGGACAGCAGCGGAAATTACTCAGGGCCTTTATCGTATCCCATATGGTCTAGCGGTTAGGATTCCTGGCTTTCACCCAGGCGGCCCGGGTTCGACTCCCGGTATGGGAACAGTGTAAGGTGTTGCCGGTGTGATCATTTCAAAAAAGGAAATTTTTCGGCACGAATTAGTTCAATTTTTTCATGCTCTTAATTAAAAGTCATAATGATCTTCAGACAAAACCAAGCGAAGCTTTTTCCCTGCTATCGTGTGTTTTTTTAAAAAAATCATATTTTCAAGAAAAATAGTTAATACCCTTTGACCGTTTTTTAATGTTTATTCATTATAAGAAAGGAACAAAATAAACGACGAAATGATATACATATGAATGGATAGGTGAATTTAAAGATAAATTTTTATATGATAGCAGTCACATCTAGTATGATCACAAAGAAAAGTTCCCTTTAGCTACCAGATTTAGTGATGGATAGTTCTGACCCAGCTCCAGTGGAAACTATCAATTTTGCATGCATACTATTTTCATTGTACGTTTCTGGACATGAAAGCTAAATTATTTGAAATCACTTTAATAAACGAAAGAATAAAAGCTTTTTATATTCTTGATTGAAAAAAACCGATCTCGAGTTTCGATCCCTTCCAAAGGATCCGGAATCGATCCTGTGTGTAATCTGTCTTGGAAACCTTAGCCAAGTGTTTGTTGCTAAGGTCAGTTTTAATGTGCGAAAATCAGATTCAAGCTTTCAGGATGTCAAGTGATGCAAAAGGGTCACTCTCTCAAACTGCAATTTTCAAGGTGGAGTGAAAAAAAATAATGTCTTCGTGAATTCAAATTTACAATCACGATTAATTAAATTTTCTCGTAGTTTTGAAATCTGCATGACTTAGCGAATGTGTCTTTCTTACTTCAAAATTTTTAGATTCTAAAGTGAATTACATAATTTTTGCTAAAAAAAATACAAAGAAGCCTTAAAGATTTCAATTCAAGCATTTTTATTTTTGTCTATGTTTATGTTATTTCTCGAAATCCCTACGCGCCACCAAAGATTTCTTTTCCTCACCTTGGTTTTGTGTAATAATCTTGGATCAAATAACTTTTTTCCGGAAACACATGAATTGGATTTCTAATTCCAAACCATTTTGTGGGAATGCACTTCAAAGAATAACAACAACAAAAAAATACTTATTAATCTTAAGCATGTGGTTATCAAAAACAGAGAGGATATACGTAACACCTTGTTAGATTTAGGTGTGCGGACAGCAGGAAACAAAGAACATTTTATTGAGCGATATTAGTTTAAAATTACCTTTTCTTGCAAGAACCAGTTACTTGATTCACGAAACTTCTATAGAAATAGACTCGTCATTGAAACTTTTCTAGATGAGCGTTGAAATCAGCCTGAACGCTTTTCATCGACTGTTGCAATTTGTAAACTGTCGACTCAGTGTACGATGAAATACATGTTAATTGAGAGGACAAGTAATTCCATTCTTTCCGTTCTCGGTGCCGACACTAATTAAAAGCAAGTAATTGCTGCCCAGACTATTCAAAGCCTGCACAATAAGATCTTTAAACCAAAAAAGCTTTACTCGGTAATTTGGAACTCTCAGTTTTTTTTTTATCTCAGTGCACAAACTGGTTAGCATTTCCGGATATCTTAGGCGTTTTTCGTGCGTATGGGAAGAATCTAAAAGAGTTCCATACGATATTTCTCACAACTGAGAACTGTGAAATAAGTAACGACTGATATCTTCAAGCAACCATAATTTCCGTGGTTTGCGTCAAGTTGCGAAAACCGAATTTTCTTCGAGGAGGTTCTTTGTCCCGCGAAATAAAACAACGGTACAACAGCTCTAACAATTTGTTAATTTAATAAATAAACGCCTTCTCTTTTCAGTTTCTCGTTAGTGAGCCATTAATCATTCCGAGACAACCAGACTGACAGAAAAGATTCAGCTATTTCTACTGCTGAGTAAGAATACAGACGTGAGAACATTCTCCAACATCGATAGCCGCACACTTTGGAAGTTGATGATACAATTGTCTAAGAATGGATGCCGCGATTATTCGTTTGCAGTTCAAGTATAGAATGCATACTTCGTGCATGCTTTGTACGTTCAATTCTGAAATTGCGTAGCAAAGGAGGCGCAGTCTCAACCGAGTTTATGATAATCGTTGACTAGGATCTCGTCGGTCATCACAAAAATTGTTATTCAAAACATCACATGGATGTTAGAATAACATTCGGATGACGAAGCTTCTTTAAAATAACAAACCATAGAAAGCTGGCTAGAATAATATACCTAATAATTTCACTAGAAGTTAACAAGAATTATTTGTTTGTAAGAACGCAACATTTATGATTTTAGGGCCTATTTTTAGAATACGCTGGTGGCCTAGAAACCCAATAAACTTGACTGTCCTATTTAAATCCCTCTTTCGTGTTAAAGGCGCTAAACGAAAATATGATCAGTGCAAAATCTTTTCGCCATGCGGGGAGATTCCCATGAAGTCCTTAACCCTACTTACATACCAATTTAAAGCTAACGCGGGTGATAAATTCCTTACGGCAAGTTTTCATGTCATCGATTCTCTATAGTGAGTTAGCATTGTTCGAAGCCAATCGCTTCGTAACGTTGATTGAAGAACTTTGGCCTAAGTACAACCTTGAGTGTTTGTATTTATTTACAATCCCCAACGCGCAAGCGGCATTACTATAAAAGTCAATATGGTGACTGACTGGCAGGTTATTAATCATAGGTCAACAGGTGATTCCACAAATGAAAAACATTTGCGCCAGTGAGACTCCATTTGGAACACGCGATAAAAGATTCCGTTTGTGTCATGTGCTGAAATAGTTGTAGACCGACCGCCAGTATTTTTGCACCGCCCCTTAGCGTTTTCCTCCTCGCGGGATACTGATCAAAGAGACTGACGGAGATTTATGGCTCAATTGCCATGAAGATTTATTGCAGGTTATCTTAACACTTGTTACAGTGTTGTGTTTCATTCAGATCCCCGGGAAAGCTTTTCAATATGGCTAAAAATGACATTAAAGTACTTCAAAGAAAAATCGTCAATAAGGGCCTGTAGTGCGTGCAGAGTAGGAGACACTACTCTCCGCTTGAGTTTTCACCGTCTGTTTAGCAAGTTGTCTGGTTTAATGTATGTGCAGAAGGTGCATGAAAAATTACCCACCAAGTACTCTGCACTCGACAACGTTGAGGTCATGAACCCAGAGTGGTACTTGATTCTGATTGGTGGAAATGGGTCACGTGAAGCGGTAAAAACTCCCTCCACTAGTCGATTTGTCATAACTCATGTTGTTAAGGGTTAAGATGTCAGGCCCAAATAAATCATCTTCGACAAACATGGCCCGTCCGTTGCTTTATCCAACATCGGCAGAGATTTATGCTCAGCAATACACTTCGCAGCTGTCCTCGACATTTGAGCGCCAAATCAATTTGACAGGGAATTATTTTCCCTTTCTAGAAGTTTCAACCCGGAGAACTTCAAGCCAAAATTACAACACCCCGCCATCACGACAGAGCTTTCATGGTGAAGACACAAGAACGACCTTGTCTCATCAAACAACGCCGATACCAGACTATCTCCTTCAGCCAATTTATCCGTGGATGAAGTCAAAGAAAGGCGGTAAATCGGACTTTGGATTTGGTAGGTCATCTTTTTGGCAACTGCTGATAACCTTATTTTTCTTTTGGATAACTTGTCCGTAGCTTTTTAGCGTGAGATGAAATCTGGAGGTTTTTTTTTTTTTCCTGCGGCTTAGAAGAAAGCGGAACAAAGCTAATCCGGTTTTCCTTCATTCACTTGGCGCACGACGACTCAATAGTTGACTTACAAACATTGAATGACCTTTTCGAGATTTTAGAATGATTCGTTTGTCCTCTATTATATAATATTGAGTATCTCTTCTGTCAAAAGGGCGGAGGTTTGAAGAGTAAGATGTCTCTTCTTGTGATTAATGAAGTCCGCATTGAGCTAATTTTGTTGCTCGGTGAGCTAATAGATGCCAACGAAAGATCGCATGTTGACATTCATTTGTAACAGGCAGTACACGGGGATGTTTGCAAACATCTACCTGACATTGTTAGCATGTTGAGACGTTCTCATTGGTGAGAGAGTTTGTTTGATTATGGGACCATGTGCCTATTGAATAACAAATAGACATCCCATTAGATCTGAAGTGAAATCTTCCTTTACCCGAATTTAAAGCTTGAACTTTGAGCAATTGGGGCGGAAGAGAACTGTTACTTATAAAGTAAGTCGTTTCTTAGATGTGGGATTCCGAGTCATTGTTCTATTTTAAATTGCCTTTTCAAATTTCTATTCATTTCACACCAGCATTTAGTGCTGATTTTCAAAATTGCGTTCGAACCCATGGCCTTGGACAGTTCGCTTACGCTAGTTGTTTCCCCTCGCATATTGTCATTTAAAAATGCTTTGCTTTTCTTCAATGAGAGCTTTCTTTTCATGTCTCCTTTATTTCAAATTTTCAGGCCAGAGACAAGCGAAGCGGCACAGAACGAGTTATACGAACAAGCAGCTTCTAGAATTGGAGAAAGAGTTTCACTTCAACAAGTATCTGTGCAGTTCTAGAAGGAGCGAGATTGCAAAGACCCTTAGTCTGTCTGAACGACAAGTCAAGATCTGGTTTCAAAACCGTCGAATGAAATGGAAAAAAGATGAAAAAGTTAATGAAGGCTCCGAGAAAACTAGTCCGCGATTTATGGACACCCAAGAAACACAGCGACACATAATGTCTTGTTCCCCTCTCTGCCATTCACCGCCCGTTCGTCAAGCGTGTCAAGCTGAAAACTTTCACTGATAGTGTGAACAGAAAGCAACGGTACGAACAAGTCTCGTTCAATACGGAGACCAATCTTTTGTGGACATTGCGGTATGTTAATTATGGTAACATTGTACAAATTTGAGCGTTATTTAATGGAAGGAACTCTTGTTAGCAAAGATCAGTACCTTTCCGCCTTTTCGCGTTTCTAATCCAGTGTTAATCCATTTCAAAAGGCCAATCGACACCATATTTCCTTTCTCCTTGTTAAAGGTGTGAATAGTATTGGGAAGAGCTTACGTCTTTAGAGTTCCTCGCAAGAAATTATTTATTGAATGTAATTTTTCGTTTGTTGCCGCTAACGCTGCAATATGGAGTTTGTACAAATACTCGATCCATTCACAAAGTCAGTTGAAGTTCATTTTAGTGCACAGCAAGCGCGCTGTTTTACTGCACACAGACAGTCGGTGAGATTTTCTTTGTTTTTTAAGAGATTCACAGCCGAAAAATTTTCACCTTCGCCTTTCCGCTATCTTGTTAGTCGCATTCCAGAATACCACCGACCATGCATGATTCCGCCAAACAGTTTCAGATATGTTCTCGTTTTCTACGTTTATTGCTTCGAAGGATAACTTTGAAATACAGGTCACATAGCACTTGTTAGATGTTACTCTCCTGTAGGTAATAAAAGATATTTTCATACGTCTCTCTATGTATACCTTGTTTGTCGCTGTTTTAGTCGTGAATTCTACGAGCGTAAGGGAAGTATGAGGCACGCTTTAGGAGCTGTCTTTCTGAACTCTTCTATTTTAAACTGTCTTTATTTATTTCTATGGGCACTCTACGGCATTCGACTTCAGTAAAAGAGAAATTGTGTTGATAGATTCTTTAATTAAAACAAAGTCCTAAAGCTAAGTTAAAGGCAACGTTTTTAACTTAATGAAGTGAATTCTTTCCATTAGAAAAGAGTACGCCATTTTGATGGCACTTCCATCTTCTTATCATAGTTATATAAAATACTTGCCTATCAGCTTTGGTAAGAATTTAGGAAAATAACTTCCTCATAAAAAAATTACACAATATTGTCCACAAAACAGTAGGGACAGTGCCACTCTAAAGACAGCTCAAATGTGCGATACAAAGCAGCCATTGATTTTCATTAAAAAACTCTCCATAACAGTCACGGTTTTCCTTCTTATCCAGACAAGCAGTACCCTGACTGTTTCCGCTCATCTCTAAGTAATAATTTCGTTCAGAACTTTGAGTGAAAATCTAACTTTAACTCTTTTGACATCCAAAGACGATCGTCTAAGACGTGTCAGGGTTCATAAATCACTGAAACTCGCGGGAAGCCATCTTGTCTGACAACAAAGGGAACCGTAACTGCAAATGCAAACGAAAACAGCCAGCGTACTTTGTGTGATGGAGAAGAAATTGTCCTTGATGAGGAAAGGCCTACAAGAAATTTGGATGAAAAGTTTGCAATGAGAGTAGAAATGAATAATAAGTAAACTCAAAAATGAAGCGGCGCTTTGCCATCAAACACCTATTTACACAACTAGTGAGCAACTCCTATTCAAAATAATTTCAATTCAATCTTTACTTCAATGGCAGCCAAACCTTTCACATTTGTGCTGCAAAATCTTGATTGACGGTTGCAAATTATTGTACAACATATAAGAAAGTAGACCAATTCCGTCAAAGGCAATAATTGCTCAACTACTCAGAGGTGAAGATAATTATACTTTCGCAAAGAGGTCATAAATCACTGAAAACTTCTGTCTGTGTTTGTGCTAAACCATTTACCTATCTAACGACAATTCTAAAACTGAAATCACTTTTAATTGCTCTATTCTGATATCTAGTCGTAGTTTGTTCACTACAGAGACGTTATAAGGGTAGTTATAGGACAAAATGTTTCCTTTCTCTCAAACGAAAGGAGGTAGAGTGAACCTTAGAAATCTCACGTTTCAAGATATGTCTTGAACTATGAGTTTCTTGATAAATTCTTAATTTAACGTTTACTAAACTAAAACCAAAGTTATTTCCTGTCTAAGCAGAAAATACCCGATGCCAGTCAAAGCTGAGTGCTTTAATTGGAAAATGGAAGAGTCAATTAATTATAGTGTAGAATTATTTGTCGTTTTCCTTGGGTGAGTCTTATCTGTCTGCAGTAGATGACCGCCATTGGCAGCGAGGGAGCCCTTTGCACGCCTAAATATTTTAACAAATGAAATACCATTAAACATGACATTACTTGATTTAAAATTCAGCAATAAGATTTGGTGATAACTTCTGTACTCAGGACGAATAGTTACGGGAAATTTAATTATCGCCTTTGCTGGATTATAAAACGAATTTACAATTCAGTTGTTCTCCGATATTGAGTTCAAAAATATCTTAATTGTGAAAGTCTCCAGCTTAGCCAAAAAGTACCTATTTTATGGTGGAAATTATAAGCTTGATGAGCGAAAATAGCAGAATATTCATATACTAAGTAATAACTTCATGAGATGCTCCTTTTAAAGAGGGATGTTGGAAAGGATCGTAGAACTGATTCCTTCTCTCTGTTATGTACCATTTCAACCACGCAGTAGTTTCATGCAAACTGATTTCTTTAATCTACAGTAGCTTCCTTTCGGAGAAGCTCGTCCGCATTTGCTGTATTCATTTGTAAATAAAATCGAGCTATGCCAAAGGTTTCGTCCGACCACCGTGAATAATAATAAATCCATTCCAATATTTACTACGTTACTCTCCTTGGTAATACGTGATATCAAAGTTGCCTCCTGTCGCCACAGCAAGCTTTTTGAAGTCGTTAGATGTAACGTACTCTCGAAAGAAAATGTATAGAAAGATTTTTACCAACGTGAAAGGATCAGTTTAGGAAAGATAGTTCAAACATCACTCGACAAGATCTTTCTACTTTAATGTCCTACATAAGTTTTCGTGCTAACGCGGTGTTCTTGTGACTCATTCTTGTTTTCACAGAGTTCATTCCCGCTAAGTTGCAATTTTAGCCTTGCTTTATCTGATTTTGGTCATAGTGAAAGAAAACGTGCGAAACCTTTGTTTTTGGGCGCCATTTTGTTGATAACGGTGCGGAATGCATCACTCCGGCGGAAGAGAACGATATAATCGTAAAAGTTGCCCATTGCCAACAATGAAGCGAATACAGCTGGATTTTCATGAAAACCAGAGCTGTCTGTTTTGTGTAGAAATGCCAGTGAGCAAATCGAAATTAAAGGATACCGAGAATAATAAATCAACTTCAAGACAGTTTAAATGAGTCTGTGTGTCCGGCGAGTAAAATTTTGCAATTCCACTCGACAGGAGCCTCAAGTAGTTTCCTGAATGTTAATTGACTTACTCCCTTTCATTAAGTAAACAAATCAGTTCTCTCCAGAAGGACTTATAAAACATTCGCTTTGCTAAACTTTGAACTACTTCAATCCAATAAATCGCTGAGCAATCTTTCGGCTTTCTTACGGTGTCCTCGGGATTGAGTCTAATGACTGACGAGAGACGCTTTTATAGCATGTTATGCACAGAGTCTTTCGGTAAAAGTGACTATATATACTCGGAGACAACCTGGTGTTAAAATGATATACAAGCTATCAGGCTACTTTCTCTAAGATAACCATATTTTCAATTTTCTTTTTTTATGGATTAACGAAAAATTATGAGGTGTAAAAAATATTTTAGGCGCCTTGTGCGTGATCACAACCGAGGTTTCAATAAACAGGACCTGGAAAATGGATGGAACAAGTTGACATGCTCATTTTTCATGTCAGAGACGATGTCATTAAGGCGCCTTCATACCCGAACACAAGGTGTAAGATGCTTCAGGTTTTCCAAAGCCTTTTTCCGCCAAAGACCCAGAAGCTTCCTCTCTAGAAAGTTTCACTGCCCCACAAATTTAATCGATGAAATGAGATCAGTCGAACAGTGATTTACAAAGTGGTTCTGTTCACGTTTCCTGGTGGGAGTTTTACAAAATTGTGAATTGTTTACTTTGAAATCCAACTGAGGAAGCCCAAATAAACTAAATAATCAGAAGGTTAATAATTCTTTGAATGTTTGCGCTGGCTTCGATAAAAAAAGTAATTGTTCATGGCACATATACAAATCACATAATTTATTTTGGAAAAGGTAAACATAGTTTTGCTCCTGCTTGAGCGTTTGCCGGTTTTCGCCCTCTAGACCACACTTATCAAATGGAGTATTTATCATCAAGCTTAAAGAGAGCTTTTCCAGGTTAATCTCTAATTTCCTGTGTTGGGAATATTTCAGTTCCCTTAAAAATATATCGTATCGCGTATTGCCCAGTCGGTAATAGGATGCCTTCTTTACGTAGGCGTCCCAATTGTCTGCTCTCAAGGGCTAAACTTTTAGCGAGAAAGGTCAAGTTAAAAAAAAGACGTTATGGAGTTTTTATAACTTATGAGAACAAATCTAGAATATTTAGAGAGCCAATTATAAAGCTGGAAATTCTGGGACTGTTCTGTTACGTTAGACGAGAATTTTGGCTCCTTATTGTCTCGAGATCTTCAGATTAATCTAATAAATACCTAATTAATTATACTCTTTCGGAAGGTGTCAAAGCGTATCTCGTAGAGGAAAGTTCAAACAAACCAAAAACGAGTCCTTCACTCAACCTTCCGGTTGTGAAATAAAAACAAATCATTTCTCTGTCTGGTAACTATGGCAACATGAAGACAAATGCAACAGGTAAACAAGTTATCTGATTCCTCTGAGTTTTTAGTTCTACTCTTTTGTATGATTAAATACTGAAAAATCCGTTATTTAATCAAAAGTACGCTATGAAGGCCGACTGGATATTTCATGATACCTGTGAATTTTGCTTACTTTCGTGTCTGCTTCGGACATCAAAAATGCCGCAGAAAGGTTTTGTGTGGAAGAATCATTCATTCTTTTAAGAAAGACCAAGACGTTGCCGAATAATTTAATTTCTTGCAGGTTTTGTAATGAAGAATCATCAATTTTTTTTAGAAAGACCAAGATATTGCCGAAGAAACTAATTTCTTGCAGGAAACCAAACCATGGTATTACCTGCCAACGTTTTGTAACCAAATCGGCCCATAACATTTTGCATTTCATCACATGACAAAAATTGGCGCCCATCAAATTCAACTCAATTCATTTCATACAATCACTACATTTTTTAGTAACAGCAGTCGCAAAATACACTATTGGCTTGAACTAAATGAAAACAAAAAGGTTACATTCAAATGCTCTAAGATTATACAAAAAAAGTCCCACAATGCTTCCACAGAAGAGAAGAAACTAATAAACAAAACTCCAAGTATAGAGAGTACAGGTAAGTAATCAGTTTGACATACCACTTATCATAGTTTTTTTTTTCTCCTGAACTGTAGTATTTTTTGAGTAGAAATTGAGTTTCGCGTGCTAACTAAGTTGATCAATAGCCGTTGTTATTTGGTGTTTGAAATTTGTAAACTATTATGAATTCTAAGAAGATTCATTATAGCAAAAAACAGAAGTATGTATGATACAGTTTGATTTTCATACGAGGAACAAGTTTTGATGTTAAAACTACATGCAAAGTTTGTGATGGGTTGTTATTCTTTGTTGGAAAGGAAATTAGGAAAATGAAATCTCTCTCTTTAATGCAACATTCCGGTTTTTAAATCTGCAACTCTGAGTACCTTATTTCTCTTTACAGCTTTCAAAACACTGACCATAGTACGCAAAGGGGAATGGCGAGGAGCCCCTTTG